AGCCGAATCCTTGCTGTCCAGTGAGTAATGGGGAGAGGTGGATCCCTGGGGAGCCTCTGAAGGAACAGCCCTAGAGAAAGAAGACCTGGACCTGCGAGGTCGCTTGGCACGTTGTTTGAGGCCCTCTGCAATGCCCTGGGATATAGCCTTGGCTATGACTTCCTGCATTTCAGGGGAGAGAGCTGGCCCTTGGTCTTCTACAGGCCGCCTATGCTTAGTGGCCCAGCAGGGCAGAGGATGTTGTGGAGCCAGTGATAAAACTGGAGAACCCTCTGCTTCTAATGAACAATGAAACAAATCAGCATTATCTCCCATGGATGGTCTAGGGGAGTTAACTGACTCAGAGTAGTCATCTGATGAAAATTCCTGGCCCTCGTCCTCACTATCTGACCATGGTGGGTCCTGATTAGGAGGAGCTGGAGCCTCTGGTGATTCCACTGCAGGAATTGGAGAACTAGCCACCGGTTGTTGCTGGGCTTGTTCAGGTTGTTTCTCTGGTGCTTTTTGGAGCCTGGGGCACCAAACTCTTGGGGCTTTGTTCCTTTCTTTTCCCTCAGCCTGGCTCTGTCTGCTGAGGGCCTCTGAGGCTGCTTTGCTAGCCTGTCTGGTAAGGCTCTTGCTGCTAGAGGGCCCTGGCTGCATTGCCTCTTGATTAGTGTTGTCTGCCATTATGCTGTGAGGAAGGGTAGTCTGGGCACCACTCTCTACCTGGAACACAGTTGGGGATGTGAGGGTAGCTGCAGCTGCTGATTCAGAGTCGTGAAGATTGATGGTTGAAATGAGTAATTAGGCCGGTGCTGCCACGAGGAAACTTCTGGGGTGATATCCAACCTCCCAGTGCCTGCAGGTTTAACAGCTGGAGGGAGGCCTAAGGCAAGGACCAACACCTCGCTGTTAATGATCAATTAACAATCAGTGGGGGGGGGGGAGTGACTGACCGTCGGATTTCCGGACAGAACAAGTTATGCTGCCACCACTCTCCAATGCTGACTCATTAATGGAAGGGAAAAATGCAGCAAAACTGCAAACAAAATGACCACTGGAAATTTTTCCCTTAACCAAAATGGCCACTATGATGACTAACTGCTGGAAAAATGGCGCCAAAATTAAAATCTGCAAAGCGATGGCGCGAACGGATGGGTCCCCGCACCAATGACTGTTGTGTCAAATGCTCAGGTATATTGTAAGCGGCTGGGCCCTCACGCCGTTGACCACTGCGTGAAAATAAAGGGCAATCACGGCGGCTCCCAAGCCGGCTCGCATCACCCAGCAATTTAAAGGGACAGCGCGCACCCAGAGAAGCCCAGGATAAGCGCCGGCAGCAAATAGCAGCAATAGACTCAAATACAACAACTGAAAGCCAGACCTTATTTCTTTGCAGAATGAAGAAGAATTCGGTTGGAAAGTCCAAGTTAAGGTTAAATTTCTGTTGATATTCTGGAACCACTTAAAACATGTCCTTGGGCTAGGCTGAATTGAAAAAATCTGAGGAGCCGGAAGAGGAGACATGGCTAAAGAGCTTTCAATTCAATCCAGGGCAGTCAGGCAGAATTTAACCCATGCTTGGACTCTCCAAGCAGCGTACAGGAAAAAAGAAATAAGAATAAGAATAAGAAGGTGGTGCCACATTATTACCTTTCTTTTGCTTTATATTTACTAGTTACATCAATGCTTCTAAAACATTTTCGTTACCCCACACTGCTTAGCAGAAAAAGTAAAATATTTAAGTCAATTTGAATTATCCTATTATGGTTGGATAATGGCTTTATATGTTGTTATTCAAAGAAAATTCATATTTACCCAATTTTGAACAATTTTTCCAGGTTTGGAAAGCACTGGATTACATCATTTTTCTTTCCTTTTTACCATTTCCATTTGTGCAATCTCTTTTTCTCTTAATCTAAGTTCTCTTTGTTTCCTAGTTGCCTTCCTTCCAAGTGGCTAGTTAACTTTCTGTCTGCATTTTAATGGAACAACTATTTAATCAAATTAAGCATGAGGATAGCCATCAAACTGATCCTATCATAATACATTCTTCATATTACAAAAAATTAGAAAGACCACATTCTTATGTTGAAATCTCATTTACTTACAATGTAATACTGTGGAAGTCGGGTAAGCTTGATAAAAAGTTTGTGGCTGGAAAGATTTCCCACAGGATGAGTAGCATGATTAACTAGCTGCAATGTTTCACTGCTTACTGTAGGCAAATGTTTTATTGATTGTTTGCAACGCTGCTGCCCAAGCCAAAACCTGAAGTGAACACAAACAAACAGGACATTGGTGGTATTCATTAGAACAAAGCCCATTTATTCTGTAGTCTTGGCTTCAACTATGCAGATATAGTAAGAACTTCCAGCTAAAAAGCAACATTTTCAAAAACCACTGTACAAATTCTTGTATTTAGATACACATCCAAGAGAAGAATGATGGCATTTTTATCCCATCTTTTCATATGTAACTCAAGGTGGCAAACATACCTATATTCTTGACTTCCATTTTCCCTACAACCCTGTGAGGTAAGTTGGGCTGAGACAGAGTGACCAGACCAAGTCCCCCAGCTGGTTTTCATGCCTAAGGGAGGCCTAGAACTCGCATTCTCCTGAGTTCTATCACTCTAGCCACTATACCAAACAGGCTTACATACACGCAAAAGACACACACATTGAGTATACATATACTCATGTGTGTGGGTGTGTGTACATATGTGCATAAAAATACATGTAAAAGTAAATTAATATGTTAATTTGTTAATGAAGTCTGGCTGCAACTTCTAAGGCATGATGAGCTAGACATATCTACAGGACAGTGAGCAAACAACCAGTTCTTTGGAACCTCTCTGGACAAAGAGGGGAAATGAGATTGCTCACATGTGCTCCAGATAGGAGAGCCTTGTGAGAATATTCCAGGACGACAATCTTCTATAGGTCTGAACACTGGGAGATGAGAGAATCAGTCATCAAGCTGACAACTGCAGCAAAGCCTTTTAAAGAACACGGAGTTTACTAACCTTGCTTTCTTTTTTTAAAAATAATTTTTTTTATTAGTTTTATGACAGAAAAAAACACAAAAAGAAAAGCATCATCTTTCATTACATCTTGCAGAAAGCGTATCCATTGGTCATAAGTACATTTCGTGTGTTGTGTCCACAATCACATATATTCCATTCAGTTTAAATTGTATATGTTAAAA